ATCCTCAAGCAGACTCCTGGCTGAGCAGGGAGCTGGAAGCAGGGCTTGATCCCAGGACCCAGGATCGAGGCCTGAGCGGAAATCAAGAGTTGGCTGCTTAACTGACTGAGCCACCCAGGCGCTCCAAAAAAAAAAAAAACCTTTCATTTTTTTCTCTAGCCTTAAAGCAAAATAGTTTTCTGATACGTGTAATTTAGGAAAATCTTCAGAAAAAATATTTAAAGCATACTATCTGAGAGGAAAGCGATTTTCAAAAGATCTATCAGTAGAAGCAACTCCAAACCCACTGATCATTTAGTGATATATCATCCCTCATGTTGTTTCTTTTTCTTTTTTTTTTTTTAGAAACATATCTTTACTTAGTGTCTGTTTCTCCCGTTAGGACTTCATCTTTATTTTTTTTTAAGATTTTATTTATTTATTTGAGAGAGAGAGAGAAAGCGAGAGCAAGAGAGCACAAGCAGGGGGAGCGGAGGGAGAAGCAGGCTCCCCGCTGAGCAGAGCCCATGTGGGAACTGGATCCCAGGACCCTGGGAGCATGACCCAAGCCAAAGGCAGAAGGCAGACGCTTAACCGACTGAGTCACCCAGGTGCCCCCCCATGTTGTTTCTTTATGCATTTTTCTGGAAGAAGGCTCATAAGAGTTCATTAATTCTCAGTGATAAAGATCCACACTGATGGCAAAAAAAGAGCTTTGCTTTGGAATTAGATCAGTTTAGGTTTTCCTACTTACTAGAATTAGGTAACACTCTTAATCTTTCTGAGCCTGTTTCCGATCTGCAAACAGGGATAACACTATTACAGAGGGATGCGTTTAAATTAAATGATGCACATAACCTTCCAGATTATAAGAACATGCCTAATAAATGTTAAGTGATGTGCAAATATTCTGCTTCCTTGAAATGTATGAAGCCTGTTTTCATGCTCTTCACACTATTTCTTAGCTAATGGTCTAAATATCAAGGTAATGTTTAGTTAAAAGTGATTTTTGTTCTGCCATTGTCCATTTCTATTTCCAACATATTCTCCTTGATGAATCAAATCTCCATATCAGTAATATTTATCATATAAGCTATTACTGTTCACATTTTAAGATATTTCAATGTGAGATAAGTTATCACTCAAAGGGATGGCTAAGCTGGCTTTGCCAAGAATTCAATGAGATATTAATACATCTTATTCAGAACTAACTTTCAAAGAAGAGGAGAGCAATGTTTCAAGATGTGAAGAGAAAAAACTTTTTTTTTTTATGAAATGTTATTTTTCTTTTGCTTTGGTGGAGAAAAAAGTTTATAGGTAACTTATAGTTATATTTATAATATAGTTATATATAATATAGTCAATTTATAGCTTATAGTCTAACATTTTGTGGTTGGTTTAAAAGAAAGTGTCAAATTTACAATAATAAATCAGTCTTCTTTAATCAGTAATGCAGATTTACAAATATTCTTTTTTGAGAGTAACAAAAGGAAGCACTGTTTTTCCTTCAAGTCCACAGACTCTGTTAGTTGTAAACACTAGTAACTCTCAAATGCAAACAGAATCAGTATTCCACATGTGGCAATCAGGAAACAACCTGTGTACCAACTATCTTAACAAAAGGCATGCAAACACACTAAATGAGTAGTGAAAGTCAAAATGATGCCAAACGTGTATGAAAACAGAGCATACAGAATTGTAAATTATTTGGGGAGATTAATTATAACATTCCTTCAGAAAGATCTGTGTGAGTTATTATTTAAACACGGAACATAGGGGCAGGCGCATGGGTGGCTCAGTCAGTTAAGCGATGGGCTCTTGATTTTGGCTCAGGACATGATCTCAGGATCGTGGGACCGAGCCCCACGTCGGGCTCAGCACTAGACATGGAGCCTGCTTAAGATTCTCTCTCTCTCCCTCTGGCTCTCCCCACTCCCTCTCTAGTAAAGAAACAAACAAACAAATAAATAAATGGAGATCACAGTCAGATGATCTAGGTTATCAAGCTGATACTATAATACTACCAAAAATTTGCATGTGATAATATGTTATAGGAATAAATAAAATTTTATAGGAAGAACTAATGAACTGAAATTTCATTTTATACTCTGACATAAATATATATATATCAAGTTGGGTTTTCTTGACTAGATGAACAATAACTATAGATAAAAGGAAATTGTGTTTGTTGTTGCTGTTCTTTTTCCAGAGTGTAAAACACTTTTTCTTTCCTTTCCTTCTTTCCTTCCTTAAATTCAATTAATTAACATATAATGTATTATTAGTTTCAGAGGTAAAGTTCATTGATTCATCAGTCTTATATAATATCCAGTGCTCATTACATCCTGTGCCCTCCTTAATGTCCATCACCCAGTTACCCTATTCCCCCACCCCCTCCCCTTCAGCAACCCTGTTTGTTTCCGATGGTTAAGAGTCTCTTATGTTTGTCTCCCTCTCTGATTTAGTCTTGTTTTATTTTTCCCCCTCTCCCCCTATAACCCTCTGTTTTGTTTCTTAAATTCCACATATGAGTGAGATCATATGTTAATTCTTTCTCTGATTGACTTATTTTGCTTAGCATAATACCCTCTAGTTCCATCTATGTCGTTGCAAATGGCAAGATTTCACTTTTTTTGGATGGCTGAGTAGTATACCATTGTACATATATACCACATCTCCTTTTTTTAAAGATTTTATTTATTTATTTGACAGAGAGAGAGAGCACGCACAAGCAGGAGGAGTGGGAGAGGGAAAAGCAGGGTCCCTGCTGAGCAGAGAGCCCAATGCAGGGTTAGATCTCAGGACCCTAGGATCATGATCTGAGATTATGCTTAACTGACTGAGCTACCCAGGCGCTTCTATATACCACATCTTCTTTATCCATTCACCTGTCAAGGGTGCTCTGGGCTCTTTCCATAGTTTGGCTATTGTGGACATTGCTGCTATAAACATTGGGGTGCAGGTGTCCCTTCAGATCACTACATTTGCATCTTTGGGGTAAATAGCTAGTAGTGCAATTGTTGGGTCGTAGCATGGCTCTATTTCCACGGAGTGTAAAACACTTTAAAAAGGAGGGTGGGGATATGAAGATGTATTTATGGACTTGGGAAGATATCTCCATGGACTCTACCTCTGTAATATAAACATTTATTCTAGATCTCAAAGAGAATTTGGATCAGTTATTTCAACACACCCACAAAACAGTCATGTTCAAACACGAAGAGATGAAGAGATACCAGTTTATATTTTTTTCAAACTGCAAGAAGAAACCTCCTTTCAGTTTTCATCAGAACCCCAGTTTTCCCATTACTAGGGCCCACAGTTCTTAAACAAAACAGTACAGCACTTACATTAGTGCTTTCTCCTGCTATGAATAGCTTCCCAGTCTTCTCATCAGTGCTCATCCCTTCTCTTAATATGTTGGTCAAAATTCAGCCATCAACCCAGGAAATTTGTTCCCAGTTTCACTGCTGGTACCTGATCATGTTATTTCAATCACTTTAGCATGTTTATACTACCTACTTCAGCGGGTAGGTAATATATGTGATATGTGAGATTTAAATAAAAGAATGCCCATAAAGTATTTAATGCTCAGCTTCAAGCACAATATGAATATTCAGTAGCTGCTGGCTAGCATTATTATTATAGCATTTACATTAAAACTAATCTGTACTAGTTGCTTTTTGATCCCCCAAATGGGGTAAAGGAAATAAATGGACATGTATTGATTATCTACAGTGAGAGGCAGTGCAGGGTATATAGAATTAGTGGTTCTCAAGTTGAAATTGACCTGGATTTCAATTCCATCTCTGTCACTTATTTAGACTTCTCTATGCCTCAGTTAAATGGAGATAATAGATATTTCAGGGACATTGTAAGAATTAAAAATAATTGTAGAGCTCAGTCAGTAGAACATGTAACTCTTGATCTTGGGGTTCTGTGTTCAAGCCCCACGTTGGGTGTAGAGATTACTTAAAAATAAAATCTTAAAATAATAATAATTATAATAGTGTTTGGTTCCAGAAGAAGTATTCATTACCTCATTTAATGTAAATTATTAGATAATATTTTGATTGAGTTTTGAGAATCTGATAACAGCTCTGTATCCCTTCCCTTAAATATAAACAAATAAATAATTCTTCACATCATTTTGCATGTAATTCCAAGGCTTTGTTAATATAAAAACCAATCAAAACCTTTAGTTGGCACAAACAACTCAGAAAAACTGTTACGGGGAAAGAACTATAGTTGTTCTTAAAACAGAGACTATCATCCTGGAGAAAGACAAGCAACATTTAAATGTCAAAATTTGGGTCAAAACTCTGAGCTTGCAGAATGGTATCTCCACCAGGTCATGATTTGACCAGGATTGAAATTCCTGCCCTGACTGTCCTCAACCCAGGCTTGAAAACCTGGCAGATAATTAAGGGCAACCTGTAGCTGAACAGCCTCAGTCACTTGTCTATAAAATGGATACATTAATACTATTCTGACAATAGCATTATGAAGATTAAGTAAGAAAGCACAAGTAAGCTCTCCTAGCACCTGTGGGCCAAGAAATAAACGTTTCAGCTTTCATTTTTCTTTTTCCTTCTTGCTTTACTCCTTTCCTTCCTTGCCCTGAGTTCTCATTTTGTTTCATGTTCCACAATGGTGAAGTCATCATAATGCTTTTACTCTAATAATGTCATATAATTTCTAGCATAATAAACAAAGAAAGCATAAGAAACGTGATTGAGGTAAATAGTGCCATTACTACTTCATTTTATTAACCTCATTTGTCTAGAAATACTAGTTGTTCATCATCCATGGGCACAAACTGGATGTGTATCAAATATAATAAAGCTCTGGAAAATTATCTCCAGTGCCATTTGGGGTTCCATTTATACACTATATAGCTTTCCTAAAACTAAACTATCATTTCTAATCCTCTTGTTTTTATACCCTAAAACATGGCTTCCAATTAATGGTTATATTGGCATTACATTCATTCCTCTTTGCTTTTTCTCTGATTATAACAGGTACTGCTGGACAAATTAATGACATGGGGTTTCTGAATACAAGGAAGGTCAAAGAGGAAAAGAGAATGAGTGAGGTAAGATATTCACATATAGAACTAGTGGAGCTTTAGCAATAACAAAACTAGTGAAATTATAGATAATTAATCAGGAGTCAGGAAAACTTTGTGATGTGTTGCCATTAATTGGACAACTAGAGTAAACAGTCTCACAAACATTAAAGAGCAAAGAGTGGAAAATCTGTCTTTCCTGTCAGCTTCTTTTGCTTGTTATCAGAGCAATTATCTCCTAGTTTGTGAAACAGTAACAATTTATGTTCGAGGGGCGCCTGGGTGGCTCAGTCCCATTAAGCATCTGCCTTCAGCTCAGGTCATGATCCCAGGGTCATGGGATCGAGCCCCAACCCCCACCCCCCACCTCAGCATTGGGCTCCTTGCTCTGCGGGAGGCCTGCTTCTCTCTCTCCCACTCCCCCTGCTTAGGTTCCCTCTCTCGCTGTGTCTCTCTCTGTCAAATAAATAAAATCTTTTAAAAAATTAAAAAATAACAACAATAACAAAAAAACAATTTATCGTTCGATTTAAATGTTATCAGTGTAAGATATGGAGATATATGAAACCTGTAATACTTTATTCATAAATTTAGTATTACAGCATCATATATTCCACAGTAAAAATGATTTAAGAGAAATGTAGAATTCATGCAAAGGACAATAATTTTTAAACTTAAGAAAAATTTTAAAAAGATTGCTGACTATGTCTTGGCATACTTTCCTTTGCAGAATATGTTAGAGCCAGCACTTTTTTTTTATTAAGAGCTACTGTACTATAGAGAAAGCCTCTATTCATATTCATAATCATCAGGCAAATCAAGGAGCTGATTTGCTTAGAATTAGTAACTCCTTTTTTCTTCACTTCCTTTATTTTTTTTAAAGATTTTATTTATTTATTTGTTTGACAGAGAGAGAAACAGTGAGAGAAGGAACACAAGCAGGGGGAGTGGGAGAGGGATTTGCAGGCTTCCTTCCTGCTGAGCAGGGAGACCGATGCGGGGCTCGATCCCAGGACCCTGGGATCATGACCCGAGGTGAAGGCAGACGCTTAACAACTGAGCCACCCAGGCTCTTAACGAAGAAAGGAACATCTGACAAGAAAAAATAAAATCCTTCTTTTGTTAAAAAAGATGGAATGTTAGAAAATTAATTTATTTTTCACAAATAATGACCACTACTAAATATTGACCCATGTATATTAAACAGTCTTCTTTTGCTATCCGATTCTAAATATGAAATGCATCCATGTTCAGGAATCATTTCAAAGCAAATGTGTTTTGGGTTTTTTTTTTTTTTTTGGTGACTGAATAACCATAATGAGTCCTAAGATCAATCTGTTTTAATTTACATAACTGCTAAATATAAAATAAAATTTAGAGGTCTTTTCACTTTTTCATTTTAACGTTGTAAGGAGACAAAGAAAACTGTGCTTTCTATCATATTATAGTTTTGCTCAACTCCTGATGCCAAAATCCTTGACAGGTAGTATTATCTATCTGTGTCCTTTCAGAACCTCCTTACATACCAGTCCCATTAAAAAAAAAAAAAAAAATCAATAGCCTTAGGAGACCTTTCAAGGAACTCATTGCTATTGATTCATTTCTCAAATACGATCCAATTTAGCAAAAAATGTGTTGAACTTTATAGCTTCTTCTCAGTGCATTAACTTTGGATGTCTTTTCCTAGATGACAGAGATAGCTTCTATACAAACACACATGGATAGGGGCGCCTGGGTGGCTCAGTCGTTGGGCATCTGCCTTCGGCTCAGGTCATGATCCCAGGGTCCTGGGATCGAGCCCCGCATCGGGCTCCCTGCTCAGCAGGAAGCCTGCTTCTCCCTCTCCCCCTGCTTGTGTTCCCTCTCTCTCTGTGTCTCTCTCTGTCAAATAAATAAATAAAATCTTAAAAAAAAAAACAAAACACACACATGGATACACACACACATATCATTTGGCCTACTTTCCATCTGTAATTCCACACTGAATTTTCCTTGCCATTCACCAACACCAAGGCCAGTTTATCAAACTCCTTTTCCCTGCTAGCTAGTTTATGTTCAGGAAACAGGGAGCAATTTTTGTGTACTCTTTAAGTTAATCTACATCTTATTTATGAACTACGAAGAAATTATTTTTATTTACTGGCGTCTTGATCCTTATACAATTACTTCTAATTACATATGGCTTGCAGGACTAGCTTTATGATTGGAGATATACAAGAAAGATCCAATGCCTAAAAATGCTTAACAGGTGCTTGATAGTCAATGCGCACCCCTTTACCTCCACACTTCATCCCTTTAGCTTAAATCTTCCTTCTCCATTGAAATTCAAATACCCATTGTACCTTAAGATCTTAGTCATTTTTCCTTAGCCAGAATGATCCAAAAGCAAATTTTGATGATGTGTAGGAGGGAAGAGAACTCGAGGGCATAAGATTTCTGCAGAGGGTATTAGGTAACAGAGGGGACAGAATGGTAGACTCACAGGGGAAAGACTCAGAAAGTGGAGCTTGATGAAACTTAAGCAAACACTGTAGTTTTGCCTCAGGTCTATTCTCATTAGTTAGACAAGGAGGGTTTGAAGGGGACTACTACTCCTGCATAAGAGTTTGCTTGAAAAGCATTGCTTATAAAATACTGTGTGCCCCTGTATATTACAGAATGTATAATATAATTCAAACTGCAAGAAACAGGCACATTCCCACATGGCCTTGGCCATGCACCATTTTGTAGCCTGCCTACTTTGAGCATCAGAAAGTGCCTTGTAGAAATCTGGTTGATCTTATTTTAAACTTCTCACTTCCCAAAAGACACAGCACAAAAAGACTGTAAAATTATTCACTGACAAGAACCAAATGTTTACTACTGTAATATATTGTGTACAATTTATTGACTGTTTCTCCTACGTATATATTTATGTAGTCCATAATCTAAAATTTTCAATAGGTATAACTACAATATGATTCTGGTGTCAACCATAAAATCCTCTCTTACAAAGCTGGTGAAATCCTTTGCTACAAAAAATACGTCTCTATCTTATATTATTGTTTCTGTATTGGTGGTATCCATATTTCCCAGCAGGTTACTTTTCAACCTAGTAAACTTCTTCCAAGTCACTTCCTTGAATCATGGATGGAATACAAATTGCAGAGAATTCTCCATTTTTGTTTATAATTTTACAAATTTCAACTGAAGGTGCAAAGTCTTCATTGATGATTTCTGTAGCTTTCTCTCCTCCTAAGCTTGTCAATATTAAGTTTCCGGATTTAAATATGTGATGCTTTTCTAATGTGTTCTCTGTTATAAGCTCTCTATTCCTTTAGAACTAATAGTAGAAGTGGTATTTTCATGGGAAGAAAAGAGTAGCATCTCTACTACTTTGCTTTCAATACTTTGTGACTACATCCTCAGTTGCATAATAGAAAACCTGGCCTGGCATCAACTGGTGGGATTAAAAACCACTGTTTCACTTCCTTGCAATTAAAATATTTACATCAACTTCTCTTTGTTTTGAAAATGGCACATAGGACCCAGTGTGGGTGTGGCCCATGAATCTTCTGTGACTCATATCTTAGACTTGTTGCTTCCAACTTCTTTATAAATAAATTTACCAATTACTGGGGGCCAGGTTTGGTTACTGCTGTTGGTTCTCAACAGTTTAATATTATGAGGCATCTCTTGAAATTATTTCTTTGCTATGTCTGTAAAGGAACTCTCCCATATCCGCCCCCCTCCCCCCGAAACTCTTGTATTCTGCTGCCTATTTAAACTTAGTATCTGTATGTAAATAGTCCACCGCGTTTCTTTTGTTGATGCACTGGCTATTTTCCAAGATTTTGTTGTTGACCTTGTCTGACTGTTTAAGGATGACCTTTTGGTGATGTTATAAAACTTCTTAAGAAAAGTAGACAGATATGCTCATCTAGCCCTCTTCTAAAAACTGAAAAAAAGCCAGTTGTTTTAAAACAGAATGGCTTGGTATAGAGGGCTGTGGCATATTTCACCTGCACCTGCATGTTTTAAGCTTCCAGAACTAAAAATTAGCTCTGCAACATATAATCACACACAAAGAAAAAGCAAAAAGGAAATCAGTAATGAAAATTTTCTGCTAGATATGTGAACAGTATTGATGGATAGGCCTGCTACTTTTAATATTCTCATAAAGACCAATTAACCAAATTCAATAAAACAACCACTTCTTCCATGAGAAGAATTAATGGACACGGACATCAGGAGTATTAGACCTGGCAAGAATTTTGGAGGTCTCCTTTTATAGAGGAGGAAGATGAGGTCTAGAATGGTTAAGTGACTTGTTGAAAGCAAGGACAGGACTAGGATCAGAGTTGGGATTTTCTGCCTCCCCATTCAGGAGACCTGAGCTTATTCTTTGACTGAATTTGCTGAGTGTTTATGCACTTACATCAAGAAAGCCCACGTATACCAGATTTGTTTTCATTGTTATTAGCAGAAGCAAGTCAGTAATTTTACAGGTAGTATAGGATAAAATTAGCCCAGTCAGTCAAACTAGTCAAAAATTAGTCAACTTAATATTCCAAAAGAGACAGTGCTTTATAGGTTCTTTTTTAAAAAACTGGAAATGAGAATTAGATAATGTATGTTTGCATATGTGTGTATGTTCAAATTTAAAAGATAAGAATATAATTTTTGAGTTTTTTATTGTCTAGTTATATATGATGACAAAAAAATAGAACACCTGTAGTTTAATCAAATATACTTGGAGTGTTTACTTATTTTTGAAACACCTTTATATATCTCTATAGTTTTAATTATAATTAATGGGACAGCATTAAAATATTATGTATTTTCAAGCTAACCCTGATAAAAAATATTTTTTAAGTATCCTAAATTATGTGAAGACTAGAAGTACTATTGCTGTATCTACTCTACAGAAAGTAGTTGATGTTTAGCCTTGAAATAATGCTGCACCAATATCAGGAAACAATTCTTAGATTAAAAAACTCATTCTCTCCATGACGTATTATCTTTTCACAAAAATTTAGTTCAAAGAA